AGAATTCAGCTTTTGACATCTATAGTGAGAACATGCAATTGTAATTCTGGTGTTTACTGCTATTTCCTTTTTACAACTGTCTCCTTTGTTATCACTTAATGATGTGCTTTACAGTGCTGGAGCCTTTTTATATTAGTCATCCTTTATCTGCACCCTGTCAGGACCCTGATAGAGCTCAAACGGAGCAAATACCTATTGCCAAGTGGAGCTGTTGGCTGACTTCAGTGGGGAGCGAGCCTTCACCTGCTTCTGAAAAGCACCAGAGCTCTCGAGGTCCTTCAGCTGTGAGCACTGGGGCAGGTCCAGCCCTTCCTTGGGCTCCTGGCAGCAGTGGAGGTGCCCAGCTCGGGCATCCTTGGAGTCTGGGAGCTCTGCCCTTGCTCTTTACAGGACGTGGCAAGAGAACAAGCCATACGAGGAGAGGCTGAGGGAACTGGGCATGTTTAGTTTGGAGAAGAGGAGGCTGAGGGGAGACCTCATTGCCCTCTACAACTCCTTGAAAGGAGGCTGTAGAGAGGTGGGGGTTGGCCTCTTCTCCCAAGGGAATAATGCCAGGAGCAGAGGAAATGGTCTGAAGTTGGGGCAGGGGAGGTTTAGATGAGATATCAGGAAGAATGACTTTCCTGAGAGGGTGGTCAGGCACTGGAACAGCCTGCCCAGGGAGGTGGTGGAGTCACCATCTCTGGAGGTATTTAAGGAACATGTAGCTGTTGCACATCAGGGCATGCTCTAGTGCCCGAGATTGTTGGGTTCTTTTTTTTGTGTGTGTGTATGGTTGGACTTGGTGATCTCAGAGGTCCTTTCCAACCATGACAATTCTGTGATCCTCTCTGATTCTGTGATTTTGCGTATGGTTGGAGTCTATGATCTCAAAGTTCCCTTCCAACCATGAAGATTCTGTGATTCTGTGGCGTTACAGCCTCCAGAGTGAGGGAGCCGTACCAACACCTCATGGGGTGTTTGTCAGCTCTTGGGCTGCTCTGATGTGACAGGAAATTTTTATGAGAGATCTGTCACTGATCTGTCAATCTGGCTTTCTTTCTGTTTTGACAGCAGAAGTGTGGAGGCATCCATTGCCCGTCAACCCCCGACAAACCGGCGCGGCGCTTGGCTCTTCCTAATAATGTATCATTTCACCAATGATTAATTGGTTAAACTATTTTATTTCGTGTTGCAGTGGGTGTCTGTGCCCAAGTGGTCCCAAGGGGGTTCTGTGAGGAGAAGCTGGGGCTGCCCTGGGCCGGGCACAGCCGGTTCCAGACAAGGCCAGGGGTCCCCCCGGGAAATGGGTTGAAGAAAGGGGAAAATGTCGCCTGGCAGCAAGGAGTGCCCCCACAGTGTTCCCCTGGAGAAGCTGGTGAATCGTGGCAGAAACAAGTGTACCGTTCACTACGTAAAAAACTAACTAGATGGCCGTGCCCAGAGAGTTGTGATTAATGGGGTGAAATCTGATTGGTATCTGGTCAGCAGTGGTGTCCCTCAGGGCTCAGTTTTGGGGCCAGTCTTGTTTAATATCTATCGATGGTTTGGACAAGGGGATTGAGTGCGCCCTCAGTCAGTTCGCAGATGACACCAAGTTGGGTGGGAGTGTTGATCTGCTGGAGGGCCCTCTCAGACACCGAGTGAATGCAAATCTCTGCCGCTCTCACAGCAAGAGGAACTATACCTCCACAGCGGCAAACCAGTGAAAAAATACACAAATTGTTTCTTGGAATTGCTAATGTTTTTATCCCCTAAACTATGTTTGCAAGACTGACAATATTTGCTATGTCTAACCTCTATAATTATCTATCTCTTAAAAAAATCCAGGTAAAATAAAAGAGGGGGTTCTGTGAGGAGAGGCTGGGGCTGCCCCGGGCTGGGCATAGCTGGTTCCAGCCAAGGCCAGGGGTGCCCCCGGGAAATGGGTTGAAGAAAGGGGAAAGTGCCGTCTGGCAGCAAGGAGTGCCCCCACAGTGTTCCCCTGGAGAAGCTGGTGAATCATGGCATAGAATTGGACAAGGGGATTGAGTGCGCCCTCAGTCAGTTCGCAGATGACACCAAGTTGGGTGGGAGTGTTGATCATTGGTATCTGGTCAGCAGTGGTGTCCCTCAGGGCTCAGTTTTGGGGCCAGTCTTGTTTAATATCTATCGATGGTTTGGACAAGGGGATTGAGTGCGCCCTCAGTCAGTTCGCAGATGACACCAAGTTGGGTGGGAGTGTTGATCTGCTGGAGGGCCCTCTCAGACACGGAGTGAATGCAAATCTCTGCCGCTCTCACAGCAAGAGGAACTATGCCTCCACAGCAGCAAAGCAGTGAAAAAATACACAAATTGTTTCTTGGAATTGCTAATGTTTTTATCCCCTAAACTATGTTTGCAAGACTGACAATATTTGCTATGTCTAACCTCTATAATTATCTATCTATTAAAAAAATCCAGATAAAATAAAAAGTTTTGTGTTCTTGATTAAAGATCAGATTATAATTGTCAGTTATTCTGGATGAACATTTGTGCAATCTCCCACGCCATCCCTAGACAAAATGAGTCATTACCACTTTCAGGTTAAGGTGAAAAGTTATGAAAGCAGTGAGAGGAATCTTTCCATCATTTCCCAGCAGTCCTGGCAAACTGGGGAGGTCCCAGCCAACTGGTGTCTAGCAAATGTGACGCCCATCCACAAGAAGGGCCGGCAGGATGATCCGGGGAACTCCAGGCCTGTCAGTCTGACCTCGGTGCCTGGGAAGGCCATGGAACAGACCATCCTGAGTGCCATTATGAGGCACAGGAAGGTTACCCAGGTGACCAGGCCCAGCCAGCACGGGTTCCACTTACTGTTCTTTTTACAAATCTAAATAGCCTCATAAAATTTGAATAAGACTTCTCATTTTTAACATCTATTAATTCTAGTTTGTTGTTTTTTTCTTAGTAACTGCAAGAGAGTTTCACTAATTACTTTTTTATCGCCAGTCCTGAAGCAACTCATTTTTATGATTCCCTTTGCTGTTTTATAGCATAGCATTACTCAAGTTTTATATTTCCTTCCTGGGATTCAAGACATTCTTTACAGTCAAACCTTGCTTCTTTCCATAGATACTAAAGGAAAATGTGACTCTTTATCTCTGCTCTTGCTCAGTGTAATTTTGCCAAGTGCAGGGTCTTGCACTTCCGTCACAACAACCCCCTGCAGCGCTCCAGGCTGGGGGCAGAGTGGCTGGAGCTGCCTGGCAGAAAAGGACCTGGGGGTGTTGGTGGCCTGTGGGCTGAACAGGAGCCAGCAGTGTGCCCAGGTGGTCAAGGAGGCCACCAGCATCCTGGTCTGTGTCAGGAACAGCATGCCCAGCAGGAATAGGGAGCACTGGTGAGGCCTCCCTTCAAGTACTGTGTTCACTTCTGGGCCTCTCACTACAAGAGGGACATTGAGATGCTGGTGCGTGTCCAAAGGAACTTCTTTCCATTGAGGGTGGCAGAGCCCTGGCAGAGGCTGCCCAGGGAGGTGGTGGAGTCTCCTTCTCTGGAGACATTTCAAACCCACCTGGACATGTTCCTGTGCAACCTGCTTCGGATGGGCCTGCTCTGGCAGGGGGTTGGACTAGATGATCTCCAGAGGTCCCTTCCAACCCCATATCTGGGAAGTTATCCTCCTTCATTTATGATAGTGGGCTCTGATTCTGTGCTGTCAGGTAAGGCTCATGTTTCTGAGGTGACTGCTCTCCTGAATTCTTGAAAGGCTGGTGTTCCACCAGAGGTGCAAGGCAGAGACTCTCCGCGAGGTAATTCTCAGAATTAGTAGACATGAGGGAACAGTCAACTTCCTACTTCCTGTTTTATCATAAAAAAGGCTTTGAATTGGTGGGGTTTTTTATTTCAAAGATTTATTATTTTCAGCCCTGAAAATGTGTCTCAGAGAACTGTCAGCCATTAAACTCTTAAAGTAATTAGCAGCTTTAGAAATAAAACCAGACCAGAAATGATGACTATAAGAGGAAATGGGCAGTCAATTATTTGCTTTATGGTGTGAACTACAAAATATGAAAACAAAATAGCATCCGCACTTGCAACAATCGTTTGAATGACTTGAAAGGCGGTCCTTTGCCACCTTCTCTTTTTACAGCATTGCAAATATTTTTAGACCCTTTAGGTTTAAGATGTGCAACGACTTAATGTAAAATCTGGAGGAAAGAAGCCGGGTCAATGGGTCTGTGTGAATTCAAGGGCCAATAATGTGGCTGTGATTAGAGCAGCAGCGGGAGGCACGGCTAGGAGCAACGTCTATGTTGGATCCAGAACTGTTTGTTCATTTGTTTTTCTGTTTCGGGTTGATTACTCACAAAGTTTTATGAATATTAAAATTCAGAAATGATTACTCTTAAGAAGTCAGTTGGACTTCCGTCTCCTTGCTCTCAATGGGTCTTGATTTCCCGCTATTTATCTACACTAGCATAATTATAAATTGATTCATTTTCAAAATATAATTTTATGGATATTCAGTTGCTGCCAACAAAATATTGGAGAAACAACATCGTTCTTTTATTTGTTTAAAGCCATAAAGCTCTCTGAGTGTCTGTGTTTGCACGTAATAGTAAATCTGGCACTATTCAAATCATCATGAAGACACTGTTAAATAAGTTGTTTACTTTTGCAGTTCATCTTTATTTTCCTTATTGAGTCAGAAAAAGTAGCTTTTCTTTTTAAAATGTTTATATTTATTTCATTAATTCCTTCATTTCTAGGGTTATTTTTTTTTCATCTTCATCTTTTTTAAAACAAATGGGGTTCTGTCCTGATGCAGACAATCTGTGGAATAAAAATGGAAGTTGGTTTCACTCTCTGTATGATGCTTGCCATCAGTAAAGTAGGGTCTGAGTAATTGTGTCTAAATAGTTCCTCATACATCAGGTTTCTGGCCCAACAGTGGGAAGGAGAGAATGCCAACCTTGCCTTTATAGTCTCCAGAGCTATGGAATATGCTTGTGTACTTTAAAGTTTTAATGGGTATCTGTCTGTCTCCATTCTTGCAGTTAACTCCAGTTGGAACAACCATCTTTACAGGATTTTCTGGAAACAATGGTGCTACTGACATTGATGACGGTCCGAACGGCCAGATAGAGTATGTCATCCAGTACAATCCTAATGACAAGGTCAGTGCATTTAGCATTTGTTTTTTTTTCTTTCAGGTGTGCATTTACATCCCTGAAGCAGCAAATGAACAAGGGATTGCTCCTGGGCTTCACAAAGAAATCCTTTCCTTCGTGCTGTAGATTATTTTCTCTGCTTCTGAGCCTTGCTTGCCATGTACACACAGCTGACCTTACCTTCATGCCATGCTGTTAGCAGCTGTGTCACTTTACTGGCCCACATTCAAGACTGTGGACCAACAAATGTCCTAAGTTACGAAGACTGCTGTACCAAAAGCTTTTTGTTGTCTCTGTTTGGAAGTGAAAGCAGAACCAGTTTTGTTCTCTTAGAGTAAGCAGGTGACAAAGCAGCATCTTGCTCTTCCTGACTTCCAGGATGTGCTGTCTCATTTCAGTATTGGATGGAAAAGCAGCTGAGATATCATGGTGTTGCACGCATCTTTTAATTGCCTTGGAGCTTATTAAAGTTTAGGTTGCAGCAAAAATAAATGGAGCTTGCAGAGGGATCACAGGGTTGCTGTGATGCAGTATCTTCAGGAGCTGTGGCACAATCTTAGGTCTGCAGTTACTTAGCAGAGTCTGTGATGTACTTTCCAGTCCTCTTTTCCTGGACACCACAAATATCTGCAACGCAGTGAATTTAACAATCATTATAACTTATTTGTTGAAAAACAAACTGCAGTATAAGCAGATGTTTAAACTTTTGGATGAAAAAAAAAGGCTTTCCTTAGCTGAAGGAAGAAAAGTACTCTGTACCTCTGAGTGTCTTCTGTGGAGAGATTTTGCAATATTGTATTGCTAATATGTGTTCAACCTACTTAAATGTTAACTATATTCTACATAGAAAGAAGGATGGAAAAAAAAAATTATGTGATTAATTTGATAGTAGAACTGGAATCAGGTATCACATCAGAAACCTGTGTCTGTGCCCGTGCCCATGCCTGTAATTGTCCTTCCAAAATGGGTTATTAGTCAAAGTGAATCCTTTAAAGGTGTGTGCACCTCAGCAGGACCCTCCTGTCTTTTGATGCTACACCTTTGCAATCTGTTTAAGCAAATATGTTGGACAAATTGAATTTCACCTGATTTACCCATCCTGAAATCTGAATTTACTAGTGTATGAACATAACTGCCACTGTGATCTGGTACCTTAAGTGTTTAGTGTTGATGTTCTCCACATGTTTACTACTTCATTGCCCCATGAAAGCCAGAATAAAGAGAAGATAATTACAGTGGTGTGGATTTCTTAATCTCTAATACTTGATACTTTCTACAGTAGTGAGAAAAAATAGATGAAGACGAGACAAACTGTAGAAACTGAAGAGCAGAATTCTCAAATAAGGAAAGGTTTTCTGAACATAACACGGCAAATTTAGCATGGCAAATCAGCAAGAAGCAGGGTAGTTAGACTTCAGTTTGTGATCAGTAGTAATAATGTATATGCAAAGAATCCAAGAGAATTTTGTTACGTACAGATTATTTATTCTGTACCTTATTTATGTGGGCTTCTTAGGGAGTAAATTGGGTGAGGAGAAAACACAGAAAACTTTTAAAAATCTATAATCTGGCAAGCAGCCCCAATTTTGATGTGCCATCCAATAGATCATCTCATTGTGACCGGCTTGAAACATTTTAACTTGGAAGGATGTTCACTTTTGTTGTACTGTTTTAACATTTGCAGACTTCCAACAGGACCTTTGATATTCCTCTCACTTTGTCCGGAGCAGTAGTTTTACGGGAAAGGCTAAATTATGAAGAAAAGACACGTTATTTTGTCATTGTTCAAGCAAATGTAAGTATAGATCTTTTAATGGCCATTTCAGCTACTGATTTACGTGGAATTTTAATTTCCGGATTTAGATTTTTCCAAGGAAAGGAAAAGTGTTGCTGAAATACCAGATCTGATAGCACTCTTCTCCTGAAGATTTTATTTAAGATCTATCTAGGTCGTTGAAAGCTTAGGCATGTTATTACTGGTTAAAAAAGCTGGCTCAGTGTGTAACAAGACGAAGTTTTTGGCACGAGGACCGAGTTGCAAATTTGAGGTACAGCTCATGCAGAAAAGTGCATTCTAGTGTCACTAATTGTTCATTTTGTAACAAATCTAGGGATGGTAATGTGATCTCAGATGAGTTTAATGGTTACGATTTAGTTGTATCCTTCAGGTTTGAAACGCATTTTTCTGTAAAGAGATGATGCTTCTTTCCAGTCATATTGCAAGCGTTTCAAAGATGTTCTTACAGAGTGGCTGGCGATGGAAAATGCATACTGAGAAGAAAAGTGATGTTTAAACTGGATCTAATATATCTGTCATCAGAGAAGATTTTTGGTGCCTTGAAGGCTGTGAAAGCTTTTTTCCCTTCTTGTCCTTCTGATAATAGCTGTAATGAAACCTTTTCCTCTGCTGTATACCTCTGTTGTGATACTACTTCATTTGGGGGAAAATGAGAACGCTCTGAAGCAACTTTAAGATAGCTTGCTCCTGAATTCACGCGTTTTATATTGCTGCCATCTTTCTGATACACAATTGTAAATAGATTTTACAGTCTACTTTCCTACATGTTTTGTGGCATGTTCAGCATTTCCCCAGTAGAAGGTAGGCCCCAGGGATGTCTCAATGCTTTTTGCACTTACACATGATGGTTTCTGGCCCACACAGTTATGCCTATTAGAGCAAGTCATTTTACCCAGGTAACATAACTTGCTGACCTCTTGAACAAGAATACGGGAAGGCTCAGAACTGATTTGACTTGTTGTTTTATCAATAATTTATTCTGCAGATGACCACTTCATATTTGCAGCTCTTTTGCTTTGATGTAGAGCTGTGAGCTTCATTAGACACTGCACTCCGCAGCTCATTTCCTTTGATGTCAGAGCTGTGAGCTTCATTAGACACTGCACTCCTAGACAAGTGACTGGGGGAGCTGAGCAGGTCATGTTTTTCAAGAGGAAGGTATGGGGTAGAGCAGTGCCAACACCTCTCAGGAGGAGGGAAGCCTGTCACACTGCAGGAGCAGCTGGTGAAGGCACAGCTTGGGATGCATGGTGGCAGTACTGCAAAGCAATCTCATAGTAATTTGTGCATTCAAAGTATCACAGAATCACATGGGGTTGGAAGGGATCTCTGGAGATCATCTAGTCCAACCCCCTGCCAGAGCAGGTCCACCCAGAGCAGGTCCCACAGGAACATGTCCAGGGCGGTTTGGATGTCTCCAGAGAAGGAGACTCCACCACCTCCTTGAGCAGCATCTTCCAGGGCCTCACAGTGAAGAAGTTCCTCCTCATGTTTAGATGGAACTTCTCATGTTCAAGTTTGTGCCCATTTCCTCTTGTCCTGTCCCTGGGCACCACTGAAAAAAGACTGGCCCCATCTTCCTGACACCCACCCTTTGAGTATTTATAGGTGTTGATCAGCTCCCCCCTCAGTTTTTTCTTCTCTAGACTAAAAAGACCCAAGTCCCTCAGCCTTTCCTCATAAGAGAGATGCTCCAGGCCCCTAATCAACTTTGTGGTCCTTTCAGTATGCATCCTTACACAGTAAATTGTCACTTTTGTGGTACTAGGTTTAGGACTAGAGCTGTGCTGATAGCTTCTACAGAATTTTTACATATAATGGGGTAGTTTGCATGATTGAAATGTCTTTGTACGCCATGTATTTTCTCAAACATACCCAAACGGGAAGTGGGAATTGAACTCACTGAAGTTTTGAGTGCTCACAGATGAGAAACTAAATCTCAACGTAAGGTTTTAGTTAAGCTCTATAGCCCAGCTTTTTTAGGAGTTTGCCTTATGTTTTTTTCTTTTATTTAAATATTGCAAGCTGCATTTAATTCCCTGTTGTATGTACTTTGCAATCATACTTCTCTTCCACTGATTACATTAGCAGCGATCGTTTATTGTTCTTGCATCCTGAAGATACTACCTAAAATTTATTTTTCTGTATCTGTGCCTTGATCCAATACTACTCAAAGGCATGTGCCGGGGCAATGTAAAAAAGATTAGTTGATGATAAAGGCTGATCCTTGTAGCTGGTTTTGTTTTTCATCATTGACCATGAAGAAAGCTGAATTCAGAAATGCCCATAACTGTAAACGTAAAGCGGTTCCACAAACTGAGTGGACTGCAAAGTAGGGGAAAAAATATGTATCTCATCTGATTTAGAGCAATGACCTATTCTGCTTATGCAGGTGGTGATATTTAACAGCATAAATATTTCTAAAAAAAATAATGCCTTTTTTCTTTTCTGTCAGTGTTATCTGAGGATAGGAGGGCAAGGACTAGGTAGTAGCCCTTGTATCCCTTCACAAGATGTTATTTTTGTAAACAAAAGCTGTCACAGCAGTTCCTCTGTGAAAATGGAAATATTTTTGACTGTTTTAAAAAATACTGGATAGTCATACTATTTCTTCATTATGATAACAAAAGAAAAAAGAAAAAGTGAACTGTTGCTAGTGTGTGCATTGGTCAGTGTATAAAAATAATGTGTGGTTTCCACAATTCAGGAAAGCGTAGCTTTATTTGTAACATCTGGAAAGAAGAAAAGGAGATTATAAGGAAATTGCAATAGTCAGTGGTGTTCTTGTGTACCCATAGATTATTTTTTTCTTTAAAAAAGACAAAAATCAAACCCATGATATATTGAGAACATATTGTGCAACATGGAGACTTTTTTGGGATGCAGCATTGTAGCTGCTTTATTGTGGACAAAAGTGTTCTTCAACTTTTTAATACGTGAGCAGTATAACTCATTCTCCAGACAAATCAGTTTTGAGTATGGTTCAAAGATCTTAGATCAATCTCATTTCTCTCCTCTGGCTGGTTTGTTTTTGGGGTGGGGAAGGGAGGTGCTAAATCTTTCTTAAACTGCAGCATGCAGAAGGGGAGTGAGCACTACAGCCCAGGGCCTCTCCACTGCCAACTAGAGAAGAAGTAGTTACTACTTATACTTTCCATTTCTGTAAGTGCAAGTCCTTTTACTAATAGATAGGATTTGATAGAGTTACACAAGGCAGCGTAAGAGTGTATTTCAGATGATAAGTAAGTCACTTATCTTCTACAAATAGGCTGCATTTTTATAGATTTAACACGACGTATCTTCACACATTTCCTGAGAACTGATTTCTCAAAACGGTATTCTTTCCTAGTGAGAAATGTCTCATAGTATTTCTTATATCAAGAGGTAATTTTTTTTCCTCTTAATTGTATTTCTAAGCCTTTATGAAATCCAAAGCAGTAGCTCTGAGGCTGAAGTTTCTGTAATTAGCTATTTCCTAGAATTGGGATAATTATGGTGCTTGTATGTTTTGCCTTTAAACTTCTTTGTAGATTCTGAATTCAGAAAGTCTCACCAAATGTAATTCATTTGCTCCACAGGACCGAGCCCAAAATCTCAATGAGCGAAGGACAAGTACAACCACCCTGACAGTAGACGTGCTCGATGGGGACGATTTGGGACCAATGTTTCTTCCTTGTGTCTTGGTGAATAACACTCGTGACTGCAGACCTCTCACCTACCAAGCGAGCTTGCCAGAACTGACTGATCCTGTAAGTCCTCTTGATTTTTTTGCAAATTTTATGTTTGCCTTGCAAGCAACTTTTATCTGTTTCTGTCGATGCAATTGAGAACTGTAACTAGAAAGGTCACATATGCTTTATGCCACATTTTATGTGCTAAACAAAAGAAAGCCAAGGTAAGATGTACGTAGGAATAGACAATGAGAATCTAGCTTTGATAAAATAGCAAACTGCTCATTCACTACGAGGGCTGAGTCTCACTGAAATTCAGTAAATTGTGGAATTGTTTTTCCTGATCTATCCATGTTTTGCTCTCAGAATATCCTGAAGAAGCACTTTTGAGAAGGGGCTTGACATGTTGTTCTGTTCAGGGTTGTTACAGAACTTGGGAGAAAGATATTTGGAATAGAAACCATTAGTCACTAGTCCCAGAAAAGATGATACGTTGCTGTTACCTGGTATCAATCAAGAGGCACTGAAAAGTAATGTGTGTTTATCTCATGTAGATGCTTGTACTAAGTCTGTTGGTTAACACGTCTGTTAGGGCAGGGATGAAGGGCAGCATAAAGCTCCGTTCACACTGGAATGTGCACAGTGAATCATAAAAGGAGGAGGTTAGAGCTTCATCATTTCTTGATGCCAGGTGGTGCCAGCTCCCCTTCCTTACAGGAGAACTGCTGCTTGGTGTAGTGCAGATGTGCATCTCTGGTGGGTGAGACAGGAAAATGAATTTCTTAACTGATACTGATATATGACCTTTGACTTCTGCATTTAAGAATATAAAAAGGAAGAACCAATTGATTCACAGGGTACTGCCCTATCTCATTGGCACTGACATTAAGGTGACATTAAGATAAGGTTGAGTATTGACGTTAAGATCATGACTTCCCTTGTTCATTGCAGGACACACTGTCCTGCTTCCTCTGACCAGGAGACGGGGGAGGTTGAGGCTGTAAGCGTGGAGATTCCTGCTATTCTCTGCCTTATCCATCTTCCCATTCTGTGCCTCCTGGTCTTTGGCCAACCCACACATGCTGGTGACCTGCTGCAAATATGCTTGAGCTGGGTCAGCAAGCACTGCCACCGCCCTGCTTGGCTGATTCAGATGATACTCTTAGAGAGTTTCAATATCTCTCACAGTTGTTTTATCCATTTTAGAAGCAGCTGCAGTTGAGTCTAAGATATGGCAGTTGATCAGTTGCTTCTGCACACGTTAACAGTACAGGCTCTGGTTTAATAACCAGTACCATCTCAAGGAGGTGACATAAGGCTTATTGTGATTGAGATACGTGATTAGTTTGCCTTCTGGATAAGGGAGAGCTGGAGCAAGTTTCAGGGAGGTGGTGTAAGTCAGTCTGGACCCCTTGGCAAACTTAGGGCAGGGCCGGGTCTTTCAGGGCTCATGCACCTCCAAATGTGGTGATTTCTCTCTACTGGAAGATCTCTTCCTAACAACTGCAGCCTGATTTGTAAGGTGTAGTAAGATTGCAGCCTTGAATATTCAGCTTGTCACAGCAGCAAATCAGCTTTGAGGAGGAAGGGGAGAGATGTTCCATATTCAGCCTTATTACATTGATTTACACTTCTCTCCCCAGCCCCCCCAACCAGCCCCCCCTCCCTTC